TTTATTCGTTAAATTTTATTCATATTTTTGAAAAAAAAAAATAAAACTACACAAAAAAAAAATATAATTTAATAGTGCTGTGCTGCTTGGGTGGAAATCAGACCAAGGCTTATGTGCTTTGTGTGTATATTTTAAATTCTTCCGCCCTAAGTTGTAATACTGAATGTATTATTTCTTACACAAATTATAAAAATATTGTCACTCATGATTGCGTGTTGTAAGAATATGTTAAACTCAATTATTTTAAACGATATATAAGATGTTGAAATAAATCATTTTTATATCACTTCAATTTCTATTTTTAATGAAATTTATTTTTTTATTATTATTATATTTTTTTTTTAGAATTCAAGGTGGATACGGGACCGTAAAATATCTAGATATTAAAATACATAGTTTCGAAATCTGATATTTGAAATCGAAATCTGATTCAGATACGGTACTCAGAAAAAGCGATACGACCCATCTCTACTAAGACGCAAGCCACCACCAGACTCCCCAAAGTCAGATGATCAGTCGACGTATCATAGTGCAACACACTAAGACGCCAACTACCACCAAACTCTTACTATGCCGAATGACAGCCAACGTATCATAGTCATGGTCACTAAGACGCCAACTACCACCAGCTATCGATGATATGTCCACCACTGAAGACATATCCATTCATGGTTCCACGTTTACCGTAGACCATATCGTCGTACAGAAGTACCATGCAACTCCATAGTAATATCTCTTATAAAGTCCCAAGTCATTCATTGCTCTTCATCATATTTATATATTTATTATTTTTTCTCTGAGCCTTCACATATTATCACTTTTATTCATTAGATCTTACTTCCATATGATCTTGGTATGGGACGTTCATACAATGTACTTTCACCATAGTACTAAGAGTCGCGATCGACCTCTGTACTTACATATGTGCGGTCATACAAATGTGTCCCCGCACCGTACATAATACTTCCCTTAGAAATCACTAAGTATGGAATTGTATTTAATGGACATAATAGTGATCGTATCTTGCTATATTTTTAATAAATATCCTTTTTTGAGTATTTTAAGTGATTTTTAACTATTTTTAATCAATTTTTGGTAATATCATTTTCTCATACTAACACTTATATTTCTTTAAGTTAAGTATATATTATTAACTTTTATTGTGATTAAACGTTCTTAAACGTTTTATTTTCATCTTAATTGATCTTCTTTATGACTAATTAATAATAATATTTATTATTATTAATAGGTCATTACAATGTCACTAAGAAGGACAGTTACCCGTTACCTCGAATCGACGACACTTTGGATACCTTAAGTAGCATGAAATGGTTCTCGACCCTAGACCTGAAATCTGGATACTGGCAGGTGGAAATTCATCCAAAGACAAGGAAAAGACAGCTTTCTCGACCGGTAAAGGTTTATGGCAATTTAACGTCATGCCCTTCGGATTGTGCAACGCACCTGCCACATTTGAGCGACTCATGGAGTGTGTACTTGCAGGCTTAGTTGGAGAGGCTTGCTTAGTTTACTTAGATGACATCATCATTGTCGGCCGTGACTTCGAGGACCATTTGCAAAACTTGTTTTTAAAAAGTTTTCGCCAAAATAGAGGGAGCCAAATTAAAGTTGAACCCGAAAAAGTGTCGTTTATTTAGGAGCAAGGTCAACAATCTCGGCCATGTTATCTCCAATGATGGAATCCAGACAGACCCAGAGAAACTGGAAGCAGTTCAAAAATGGCCTACCCCTAAGGACAAAACCGAAGTGCGAGCATTCCTCGGCCTGTACTCATACTACAGGCGTTTTGTTAAAGGACTCTCAGAGATAGCCAAGCCATTACATCGACTGACAGAAGATAAACGACAATTTAGTTGGGATGGGACTTGTGAAGATTCTTTTCAGAAATTGAAGAAACATCTATGTGAAACACCAATCCTGGGGTATCCACAATCTGAAGGTCAGTTTATAGTCGACACGGATGCAAGCAATACGGCCATTGGAGGGGTGTTTTCTCAAAAACAGGGTGAAGAGAAGTTGTTATCGCATATTTTAGCAAATCTTTATCCAAGCCAGAGATAAACTACTGTGTGACAAGAAGAGAACTCTTGACTGTTGTAAAGACACTACAACATTTCAACAAATATCTCATCGGCAGACAGTTTTTACTGCGAACTGATCACGCAGCCTTGAAGTGGCTACTGCAATTCAAGAACCCAGAAGGTCAAGTAGCTCGATGGATTGAACAGCTCCAGGAGTATGACTTCAAGACGGAACACCGCAGTGGAAAGACGCATGGGAATGTCGACGCACTCTCACGAAGGCCGTGTTCAGAAGACTGCAACCATTGCGTCAAACAGGAATCTAATGAAGTAACATTAAAGTTAACGAGAACAAGTCCTTTAGGTCTCTGGGAGAATGATGCTATGAGGGAGGCTCAAGAAAGAGATGACGACCTTCGGCACATCATCACATGGAAGAAACGGGTTGACGTAAAACCAATCTGGAGTGAGGTTGCTCCCACTGGTGCCGTCACAAAGGCGTACTGGGCGCAATGGGACAGTCTGATACTTCAAAACGGAATACTCTACCGGAAATGGGAGAAGACTAACGGCAGAGAGTTCCATCTTCAGATAATTGTCCCGAGAACGAGAGTACCAGATGTTCTCCGTGAAATACATGATGGCGTATCAGGAGGTCATCTAGGTGTCAAGAGGACGTTAACAAAAGTGCGAGAACGATTCTACTGGTTGCACTGTCGAGATGATGTACAGGATTGGTGCCGCAAATGTACTACTTGCGCTGCTGCAAAAGGACCACAGACCAGAAGCCGTGGGAACCTGCGGTTGTATAACGTCGGTGCACCGTGGGAACGAATTGCAGTTGACGTAGCTGGGCCATTTCCTGTAACGGAGTCGGGAAACAAGTATTTTATGGTCGTCATGGACTACTTCACCAAATGGCCCGAAGTGTTCACCATACCAAACCAAGAAATCCATTCCGATCAGGGCAGGAACTTCGAATCGCAAGTATTCCAGGAAGTGTGTAGAATTTTGGGCATGCATAAGACGAGGACCACCGCGTGCCACCCACAGTCTGATGGAATGGTTGAGAGATTTAACCAGACCCTTGAGAGGCATCTGGCGAAATTGGTAGACGACAAACAAAAGGATTGGGACAAGTATATACCACTCTTCCTTCTGTCGTACCGAACCGCCGAGCATGAGAGCATAAAAGCTACCCCGGCGTATGTCAATTACGGTAGAGAACTACGATTACCAGTAGACCTATTGACAGGAGGGTCACCGGAGGGACCAGAGACCGTACAAGACTATGTCTGCAATTTAAGAAAAAAAAATGCGCTATATACACGCCTTGGTTCGGGAAAATGGGTTACAGTCAAGTGAGAACATGAAAACCAGATACGACCGGAAATCGAACACGGACGGCTTCGACGAAGGGTCACTGGTGTGGCTGCATAATGCAACGTGTCGGAAAGGGAAATCCCCAAAGTTGCAGACCAAGTGGGACGGTCCATACAAAGTGGTTACCCGACTGAATGATGTGACTTATAGGATTCAAAAGCAACCAAGAGGGACATTCAAAGTGGTACACATAGACCGTCTGGCGCGTTACCATGGCAGTAACAATGATGCTCGGGACGAGCATCTCTAAGAGGGGAGTAGTGTTATGAACACACAAAGGAACTAACGCCATCTAGCGTCAACTATTAAAACCACTAAAGAACAAAGTCGACATAAAACCCCCTATTCAACACTAGATGGCGTTAGAGGAACTGCTGTGGAACTATAGTCTCGAAAACCGGGTACATTCGCGAACTTTCCGGAATCACGAACATGTTTGTGCGTGTCGGGTACGTTCCAGGAATGATCTTTCTGGATTAGTCCGGAACCGGTCTCGGCCCATATAAAAAGCCGCAGGGAGGCGAGCGATCACAGTTCAGTTTGAGCTACCTTCGAGGCGACTTCGGAGTGAAAACTAGTGATCAAGAGCGATAAAAGTGAAACCTACGACTTGGCTACAATCTAGGTCATCGTTAGTGCTTAGTGATTGGACCTAGTGCTTTGTGTTGGACCTAGTGCGCGTAAATAAAGTCTTCAAAAGAGTCAGCAGGTCTTTCTCTCCAAATCCTTCGAACCCCTAACACGTAACAATATCTAAATTTCTCATTTTCCTTGGGCGGTACGTTAGGCTCTTCAGCCTAGACAAATTGACTGTCGGTATATCGAAGTGCTATGGTATTTGGATTACAAGACTACGATGTCCGTCCGAGTCCAGTCCAGTAGTACATAAACTGTTCAAGCAGAAGGATGTAAGACGCGGTGATATCACATCGCCGAAACTTCACCGCTGCATTGAAACATGTTTTCAAGCTTCTGGACTGGAAAGAACGAGGTATTAACATCAATGGCGAATACATCATCTACCTTCTATTCGCCGACGACATAGTCATCATGGTAGGATTTATGGCGGACCTTGGTACTACGCTCATTCTCCTCAACAGTGTCTCGCAGCGGGAGGGCCATAAGATGAACATAGACAAGACGAATTTCATGTCTAAAGTCCATGTCACGCCTATACCGGTTTCATGTTGGGAACACTGTGCTTGAAGTTGTTGACGATTATGTTTACCAAGGACATTAGTTAAGTCCAATTTCAACGAATTCAATTTATCGATGGGCGGCGTTCAGAAAACTTCGCCATATATTCACGTCTGTTATCCCTCAATGTTTGAAGATCACAGTCTTCAATCATCGAGAACCGTGGCCCTTCACTGCTGACCGTATAAGGAAGCTCAACGTCACTCAACGAGCTATGGAGCGGGCTATGCTCGGTATTTCTCTGCGTGATAGAGTTCGCAACGGAGACCGCAGTAGAAGAAAATCCGCAGTAGTCGTTAAAAAAGCAACGCTGCTTAAAATCAGCAGTGGACGTGACGTGTGCAAAAGTAGGTAAAAAAAATGCATATTGTTAATTACCCAGTGAGCTGTTCAGGTAGAGCGGGGGTGTAGACATTGAGGAAGAGGCAGTCCTCATCGCCTTTGTAGGTGTCGAAGAGCATGAAACGGTGGGGGCACACCGCTCCTTCCTCGAGGGCGTCACGGATGCCCGACCACGGCTCAAGGGGCGCCGGTGGCCGGAACCTCAGGCGACCACGCGGTGATTGCGCGTACCTTGAAAAGGAACGACACTTTAAACTTTCATCATTATAAATTTTTACCTGTTTGCGCGGCGCAAACGTGGGTAATGTGTTTATCAGTCTATGTATATCTGTTTGTTTCTGTGTGGCGTTCGACCCATTCTTTTATTTACCAATAAAATCTCCAGGAGCCCCGTAAAATTTAAATGGGTCGCGAAATTAATCCTTGTATTCTGCATAAAAAATTATGTTTTATGTGTGTATAATTAATAACTATTTCAATGGTGTAGTTGTTCAGTATTACTTTTAACAACATTCTAAACCACTGGGCTTGTTTCTTCCTTTTTAGTTTTTGTTTATTTCAGGTAAGGTACTTTTTGTACCAGGTAACTTTTTTTTACGCAGTCGGGATTTTTTTTGTAATAATTTTTATCTCTAGTCTTGACCTAAACAAGTAATCACGCTTAGTTGAGAGAATAAAGAAAAAGGTTTTGACTTAAGGTAAGCATAATACCCTACAATAAGTTTGGTGATTACCGCAGCTAGTATTAATTCACAATAAAGTGGTAGTAGAAATAGTAATAGCCTAATTTTGCTTCGGACTCTATGAGGCTTATTTTCCTAATCGAGTCGGGTCATTCAAATAGCGGCTTCATGGCGGTGACATAAAACGTGTCTATACTATTATGTTTCTTTTAAATGCATTAACTATAATGGTTTCAAATCTCATTTCATATTTCGTTTTAATGTCCTTACTAGTTGAACCCGGCCACGCTTCGCTGTGACTTTTTTATCGTTTCCCTGACAACTTCGGAGTAAAAAGTATATGTAAACATTTTGTGAACAAATAACAAGTCAATGCATTAGCCAAATTTTGAGTTTTGTGGCCACAGACATACGAAAGCAAAATTTTTAAACATAAAGATTGTGCCTTGTATGACTATTGGTAAGGGCCGTCTGAGACTGACCTTATTCGCTTTGATGTTATGAAATAATTTTAGTGGCTATTACCAACCTTATACCCTTAAAGCTGTAGTAAGGAGTTTGTGACGTGGTTCGCGTGACCAGCCGCCGTCCACGTAACGCACCGAGGCGCGTGGTGACCACTGGGCCACCACCAACCCTCATACGATCCACGAGAGCGTGCACTAAACGGGCGGCGCGGGCTGGTACCGCCTGCAGCCTTCTTAAAGCATGTTTCAGGCCAACCGACTCGCTCACCGTGCTGGATAGACGCCTCCAAGCGCCCGTTATCTGCGAGCATGCACATGAATAATTACAATCTATAAATTAGACAAGTTGCCAACTTCCCACAATTTATCAATTTACGCGTTTGTACAGAACCTAATGGAGTAGCAATATTTTGGAAACAACAAACTTGAATACTGAATTAAGGCCCATTTACACGATGCCATTTTCTTGTACATACCAGAGCAATAATTGAATGCAATAAATTGCGCGCAATAATTTGTTAGACCATTTGTTGTTTAGACCATGCAACTCATTTATTGCTTCAATTTAATTGTATACAACAGGCAAGAAACTTGCACCGTGTAAATGGGTCTTTACTCACCAAATTTAACGCTTGCACGCCGATCATAACGTAGTTCAAATGTTTTCAAGTCTCGATACCTACTTATGTGTATTTTGTCGTTAGTACCATCCATCATCAAAGTGTAGAGTAAATATGAATGAGACAATTATAAATTTTAAATTTATCTTATATATATAGTGTTTTTCCTTTATTTATTTATTTTCACATACGTACTCAACGATTAATGAAAATTGAACCTCACGGTTAATCTGGTACTAATTTTAACTCGTTCAAAGTTGGGTTACCGTTTGATCACGACTGCATTGGCAATTTATAGCAATGCTATGAGAACAGCCGTTTACACGTTGGTGCAATGAAACCGATATTTAGAAAGGGTTTATTGTCTTTCCGCATTTTCGTAATGGTAATTCCCATAGTTACTTTGATAAGAGCGGATAGTAAGAAATCCCCAAGGGTACGGGTATTACAAACCACATCATAAACGTTTATCTATCTCCAACTATAAAATAATTATTAATTGAAATTTATACAAATAGTAGTTAATACATACCATATAGCTGTCAATTAATGAAAAATAATGTATTCCATAAATGGTGATTTTAAGTTTTGTTAACTTTTTAAATTACATAAATTAATCTTATGACCCGCAAACTTTATATTTAAGTAACTTATAAGGTAAAGAATAAGATAAGCGAGAAATGTTTTTATATATTTCGTGTTCGATTTTATTAATGTCATATGGTTTTGAAATTCTTATGATAAAAGACAAGTGTATGTAAAAAAACCTACAAAGAAAAATTACGTTACAAAAAACTTTGATTTAACACAAATATACGTATAGCGCTTGACTGCAGTTGAATTTAATTTGCATTACAAAAGTCATACTTGTAAAGACATTTTAAGTCTGCCACATTATCACCGATTTTTATTTCACGGTTTTTAAACACGACTAGTAAAGACAGCTTATTAATTTAGATAGATAACTAAATACTAATTGTTCCTTCTTTTACCTACCGTTTCTATTGAGTATACGTGTAATAGTTGAAAACAGGTTGTGGCATTTATTTAATTCATTTGTCAAGGATAACAGCGGCGTTATTTAGTTAGTAGCTACTCCAAGATACTGCCCAGAAATTGTGTGTTACTCATTTAAAAGTCGTTAAATATTTCTTTTATCTGATCTTTCATTTATCTGATCTTTCATTTATTTATTTTTTTAGAAACTAGTAAATTGGTAGTGAGCAGAGAACCGGTACCAGGTAACACTTTTAGTTTGTGATAATTGTATATCGTGTTTAATTTTTTTTTAAATTCAAAAACTGGCTAGGACTTGACTGGCCATCCCACCTGATGGTAAGTGGCGATGCAGCCGTTGATGGTAAGCGCGCTAGCTCAGTACAAACCTATTCACTCTTGCCTTGAAGACGCCAACGTTGTATTTTATGTGTCGGTGCAATCTGTCAATCGTGGGGCATACTGAGTTTCAGAAACTGGCCCCTTAAAATAAAAATAAATTATTGAATTTGAAAATGGTACCTACTTTCTGAGAATATATTAAAATTTAAATAATAAAGTTATGCTTTTATACTAAATGACTTTCAACGGGTTTCGCTGTTACTTAAGTCTAATGCCTCGCCTCTCAGATAACACCGATATTAACAGAGGTTATTAAGAGTTCGCTGTAAGGAGCGATATGTTGGTCTACAGATTTGCTCACGTGAACCTCCGAGTTAAAACACTTTTTAAAGCATACTGTAATTTCTTTTATGCAGCAATATTTGAACGAGTTTTACGTAGAAATCCTTCTATTCATTGCGTGTGCATTATAATAACGATACTCGATAGCACAATACTTAAAAATAACTCTGGTCTTTAAATATTTTCACTGTGGTAGGCATCAGCTTCTTGTCAGCTTTGATAGTTGTGGGGAAGTACTATGGGATGGCTAAAGGCCAGTATGAAGTATTATAATTTCGCGTTTCGAGTGAGGTTACCGGGGCCTGCCGCTTGCCTACTTTTTCATAAACAAAATAAAATAATAGATTATGGTTTGGTGCGCATTCACAAAATATAATCCAACATAAAAAATGTGTCTAAAACGGCTATAATTATAAACGCCTACGAAAAATCTATTGATTTTTGGTAGGCGTTAGTATTCCAAGTCGTATGAGGGATTGTTGCACTCGTATACATACATACTGCTGTAACTCATTTTTAAAATAAATCCGGAGAATAATACCGATTGAAGTAATAAGCTAACAATTTGAATAAAAAGTGACACTAAGATTTTGACGGCAAAATCTTTAAGTTGTTACGTAAAGTACAGAGGAGCTAAAATCAAAATAGATCCAATAGCTTTATCGATGTCTAGTATTTGTTTTTTTTTTTTTAAATTTATTTTCGTTAAATGATCCCCGCTATAGGAAACAAACGCTATGTCGCGGGATGTTCCACAAACACCAAAATCATGGACTGAGTCAACATTAGATTCGGAGTAATAATTTATAAAGCACTTAATATTGTGTTTTTTGTTGAAATCGAACCCAAAACACGGCTTGCAATAGTAGTTGGGAATTGGACCACCTTGACTATTATCATCATCGTCATTATTCGTGCAGCAGTCTAACCTTGGAAATGATTCATCATCATCATCATGAACTGCTGAACATAGACCCCAGAGACTGCCACGAAGCACAATTCTGAGCCACCTTCATCCTTTGACTTGCAACACCTATACCTACAGAGGCCGCCACTCTATCAAGTGGAGGTTTGTCCTACATTTTGATAGTCAAGACGAGGCTGCACTCGAGAACCTTTATTCTCCATCGCTTATCGGTTCTACGAGCTATATTTCAAATAGCTAGAAATTATTAAGATTATGAAAAAATAAGGAAAAAAATCATCAATTAACGATTTTTTTTAATTCTGTTACAATCTAATAGCAAGGTTTAAAGTAGTAAAGGATGATCCAGATTCAAATCTTGACCATTCGTCGTCATCTAGAGGTTTAACAAATTCTAAGGGTTGCAAAACCGTGCGTGGGTAGTAGTCGCTCAGAAAAACCGATGTGATAATTAATAATTAAATGAACCTTTTACGGTGGGATATAAAAAATATTGCTTACATATTTGGCCCGTGCCCTCTAGCAACGTATTAAACGTGCTGTAATGTTTAGAATACAAACAGCGAGTAATAATGGCTTCATCAGGTCAGTTTCGCATACATCAACAGGAAGTCGTTTTAGTTGGAACATTAGCCTACAAAAGGTGGATTACGCTATTTCATAGTTCATTAGAAATGTCGAGTAAAAAGCATCATTAAAGAAAGTTCCTTGAGCAACCAGTACAATGATCCCATCGCCTTAAGTATTGCGGACGTAGAATTTCAAGACATGTAGACTCGGGCACACCTATTGAATTCGCACTTGATTGCAATAAAAAAAGTTTTATTAAGCATTCTTACTGGCAGTGCGGCGTTTTGAAATACCCATGTGACCTTTTCGAAAGTGACAATATAACAAAGAGACCTAATGTGCGTTGAGAAATTTTTCTCCTACACATATACAGCGTGTCGTTACCGTCGCGACAATAAATGCACACGCGTCTAACGCTACTTGCCAAAAATCACAAAAAAGTATTAACGTTAAAAAAATCCATAATTAAAAAAAATATTTTTCAAACAAACTAATTAAGTAAAAAAGAAACAAAATTTGTTACATCCTATACAACAACATACTGACTACTGACTCATTCATACATTCAGAGACTTTTTCATTCGTTGCCACGGCGTCGCATTACAAGCCTCTCCTTCTAACAGTATGTTTTGTCTCTTTTAAATTAATTCAACCCATTCATATGCTTTGTGACCTTTACAAATGAACTTTACGTTACAGTTTTGTACGTAAGGCTGTTCTAAAATTATTTGTTTTGGAAAATTTAACAACTCTGTTTAAACATCAATATTTATTGATGTTTAAACAATGTAAATTTTTGATAGAATTTTAAAAAGTTATCCTCTATATGTGTGTTCATTTATTGTCGCGTTGGTAACGACACGCTGTAGAGCCGTGATAGCTTAGTAGTGTTTTGGCGCTCGCTTTTTAATTAATGTACTGGAACAACCTGAGTTCAAATCCAGCGCAGGCGACATTAACAGCAAATTTAAGTGCTGATTTAACACGTACACATCGGTGAGGAATTCTGCATATTTTCCAAATAATTATAAAAAAATATTTCGAAGCTATGTGGAGTCTACCAATTCAGAGAAGGCCTTTTCCCAGTAGTTGGACATATATACATAGGCTGTTACTTTACTTTGATTAACACATATATACGTGCTCTTTTTTATATATGATAATTATAAATAGATACACTACATGATAATTTGTTAGCAACGCTCATGAATAATCGCAGAAGCTGCTCGCTTGAAAACAATTTCAAAATAAATGCAATCAAGTGGAAAAGTTGGATGCCTAATCGTAACAACATTAATCATAATTATATTTTAGTTTTATTGCTCTGTTAAATCCACAAGCACGAAGGAATAAGTTATACGTTAATAAGTTAAGTTATACCAAATTAACAAAACACACTGGCTTATTCAGAAACTTTGCTCACAGTGATACTTTGCAATTCCAATGGCTATTGTTAAAGTGAACATTGCGTTAGGTTACCTAACAGATGGACCGTGTCAGGTCCGTGTAAAACAGTATAATAAGAATGCGGTACACTTTTCGTTGCCCAATAAAATACATAGTTATTGCCTGTTAGGACGATACACGGAGAGGAGTTTTGTAACTACACGTAATTCTAAAACTAGGTTGAGAAAGTTTCCCTAAATAATTTTCTGGTACAGGGTCGCGTTGTCGCATGGGTTTTTACTGTTTAAAATTAGGTGGCGTAAAGATGTGTGTGTATGAGTAATTCTTTAGTACGCTACTACTACACATCAAGTGTTAGATCCGTCTCAGTTGTGAGAGTAACAGGGTTAATACCCTGGGTACATTGGTGTATCTAGGTTTATTTCTCAGGGTGGGTCTGAGCCTTGACTACAAAAAAAATCGAACACTATTACTTATTCAAGAAGTAACAGTTCGTTATCGTTAATTATTTTTATTAATTTATAGTAGTAGTATTAATTAATTAGTAGTCAGAACCTACGTTGTGTATTCACAAGTAAATAAACGGAATGTACTCGAATTGTAAAATAGTATGTAATAAAAACTAAGATTGTACATAGTTTTCTCGACTGTAGATAATTATTTGATTTCAATATTTTTTAATGAAATTTCTTAGGTATCCAATGATGAATAGATAGCCTAGAATTTCGAATCAGTAACCCAAAATCCTGGGGTGGGCACTGCTATATACGCCTATGCCTGGGTATATAAAAACAGCAACAACAGGGCTTATATACTGTTATCAGTATTCTAAACGCAGTCGGGTTTTTTCATTTAATAATTTATGCTTGAAGTAGTAGTACTTATTTTTATTGGATATATTAGACTACACTTCATTCTTGACGTTTTTAACATATTTTCTGGCACGCACCACCACTTAATGGAACTAGATATCCCTAGAGGTATTTCCGAACCGTTTAGATTTCAAGACCTTCAAAAAGAGAGCCTACTCCTACCGCAAAACCTGGCAAAGCAGGTGTGACGATGTTACAAGTCTCCACTTTCACCATTCGTAAATATTTCGTCATTTGATTATTTTACATATTATATCCGATTATCGAAAACTTATTATGAATATGGCAGTCGTACATATTATATCCGATTATCGAAAACTAATTATAAATGAGGCAATCAGGGTGATGAAGAGCTTACCTTCATAGAATTGAGGCTGTTTGCAGTATTGATGACTACGTCGCCGAGGGCAGCCGGTGGCAGAGCGTCACTGCGCAGCACCAAAGCACACGCGCACAAAACCACCAAATGCCACCAACACAAACGCATGTTTTCTCACTTTATAGTGATGCCTCAGTCTTTGAGTCCGCTAGTACTCGTTTGGTCATACAAATGTTTCATTAGCACTTAAGGGACCTTAAGGCAGCCATAACCAGTCGACACTTTACTAAGCCACGTTATAAGTTGTCTGTTGCAATTACGTTCAGCCGTATAGTTCAAAACCTTGCGGGAAAAAAAATGTTTTAAAATTTACTAATAGATCTTCACGACGTTTTCCATCACCGCAAAGCATATGGTAAGCAACAAATTACAATTGACAATTTCATTTAAATAACGGTACGGGGATTTTAACTTAGGTAGCTCTTATAATCTAATTGAATGCGAACGTCCCTCACTGAGCTAGCACGACCCTATTTCGTTTATATTTCATTAAGTATACGTGGAGAAATGAAAAACATTTTTACTACTTGAAACCTGCATCGAAAACTGTCGATTCGTCCGAATCTATAAATGAACGAAAAAAAAATTATAACTAGATGACGTAACGTTATATCGGATACTAATTTGAGTTTAAATTAGACTGTACTTTAAATAATAGGGTAACAAGTAATGGCACTAAAGTAATTCATATCTCTGGGAAAATCAACAGCTCTGAAGCTTTATATGAATTAATTATATTATTCAATTCAAAATGTTTATCACGTTCACATATTATTATTGCGTTTGATATTAATAAAACATTGAAGTGTTTAAATTATTCGCTACTTTTGCAGATTATATAATATACTTTATATGTACCTTATTATGATCACTGCGATATTAATGCGTCTAACTCTATTTACATTGGGAATGTGTTTTGGCTCATTTGCTTTGGTTTATTTGGTGAAGTCCTTGAGGTTCAATGAGCTGTATAGGTTCAGTACACCGTAGCTTAATTGATCAGAACGATATTTGTATGTAAGTTTCTCAGTAAAAATACACATCCATTAAATACGATCATCCTTATTTAATCATCCTGAATCACTGGACTATTACTGGACCAAATATTATATGACAATTGAACCCAATGTTAATACATGACTTTGTCCATGTGTTTTCTAGTAAAAAGCTGTCTCGGCTATCTCGCCCTCTGGCTGATTGATATTTGTCCAGCATTTGGCTGCTTTTAGTAAAAGTAACTAAAATTTAAAGTTTCAAAGCATGTGTAACATAAGATATTAATAATTGTAACATAATATATTCCAAAGGACAAACTGCTCACAAGAGTTCGAGAATAAACTTCGATACGTGACACTGATTTCGTAACATCTTATTTTATACAATATGGCAACAGCCTCAGATGTGGTATATGTTCACATGTACGTTTCAAAGTTGACCTTTAATTGCACGCTAAAGATTACGTGGAATGTCTTAACATGATACGAGTGCTGTACGATCGGTTGGTGCGGTCGCGGTGGACGCTCTCGTTTTTTATCCACAAACTTTCACTGGCCAGTTTTCGGCTACAGCGATTTATTCAAACTTTGCACAACCTTTACATTGATTCATTAGCATCCAAGTTATAGAAGCTATAGAAGTGCGCGACTGCTATAAATGTTTTAAATCGTGACGATTGAAGTATTAAAAAAATAATTCCACACGTCAATAACCTAAGAAATAGAAAATTTTGGTAAATTTCTAACGAATAGCCTATACACTTGACAAACTGTATGTAGGCTTTTCGAATTTTGTTCAAAATCTACAGACAATTGCTTATATTTACGCGAATGCTACACAAATTTCGGATTTTATCAGGTTCAATTCTGTTTACAGTTCCCGACGTTTCAGACAGTGTCTGGCACCCAAGGGCATGAGACTGACTGTATATTTCACAATGAAATGTAGTGATTGTAAAATTTACTAGAATAACTGTTGCTATTCGGATTTAAAAACTTCAGACAGCGAATTTAAAAAAAATTGCGGATAAAGAAAAGTTTTTTTTAATTTATTCAAATAAAGTCTTTCAACATTCATATCTTATGCTAAGATTTTTTTATGAGCGAAGGTGGCAAACGAGCTGGCGTTTCGCCTTTTCGGACATTTGCTTCACCCGTAGGATTGCAAATGTGTTTTCACCTTTTAATAGAGTTAGTCAAACTCCTTATAAACTTAGTCTATAATTCTATAGCACAGCTATTATTTAGTCACCGTTTTATTTGTATGCTTTAGAACAAGAGGTCTTTGTGCATATCGTGGTCTTGCTATACAAAAGACTTCAACGCGCGTTTCTCAATATCTGCGCTACAAAGTATTTTGTTACATACCAAAAAATCCATTTATTACAAAAAAAATATCTTACACTATTATATATGTTAAAAATAACCAACCTTTTTAAATAGATTGTATCACAACTTTAAAATAAATGAAAATTATGCATGTTACAAATATTTCTAATCTTACCGAAATATTTTATCTAAGATGTCAATATGAATGTAAGTTTCAAATTCGTTAATACTTTTTTAATTTTATTAACATTATTTTAGCAGTTAGTCTCATCTTTGAAATTTCCAGATATTGTAAAAATAAATAGTTAAATAGTTTTTGAAATAATTTTATCAAGGTTCGAAAATTTTCATAGAATCTGACACAAAAAAATATTTAACTCGATTGTAAAAATTCTTACTTTACTCTAACAACGCTTAAACTTTTACAAATTGAAACAATGTATGTAGTACTTCACTCAAATAAACGGGAGACTAGCCAGACTTATATAAGATTTTAAGATAGGCGACGTGGCGACTGTAGATGTTATATAAGAAGTTTATTACATCCCTTCGCTACCGGGTATAGAACAAATGTACGGCTAACAATCTTACTGTCACTATTTTACTTAGTACTTCTTCCCTAACGGCTGATTTCAATATGCTATCTATCTGTAGATTTGGTTACTAGCGGTAGGTATTTGACATTTAGCTCCATAATACTTTCGTCAAAATTCTATCTCCAGTAACCAAATCTACAGTTTGAAACCGGCCGTTAATGATACATGCGGGGTGCACAACTTTTTTCCCATCAGTTTATTAAAAGCGAAATTATTTTATTATCACTATACACGTGTTAATTGAAATGTGAGTTCATTGTGGAATACTTTAGAAAAACACTTTACAAAATGCACATTGTTACATGTAATTAAAATAAAATAACACAAAATAATAAATGGAGAATTAAAACTAACGGTTAGTGAAAAAAAAATTATGTGAGAAAGTGCCAAACGACTTGGCGGTTCACCTGATGTTAAGGGATAATGTCGCCCATAGACATTTGCAATACAAAAGATTCTTTATACTTAATGCCCGTTACATATCATTCCAAATATTTAATAAAGCTCAAACAATTGCAGTCTGAATCGTGAATGTGAGTTCCTTACAATGAACACTATTACGAAAGAACTTTTGATAACAACCCCTTTATAGAAATTCCTTAACTTAACATTTTGAAACGATAGGTCAATATCAGCAGAACTTCAACGAATTTAATTTTCATGAAGATTTAGATTTTATCTATATACGTTTGTGTTTATTTTATTTTTTTTAAAAGATAACAGACGAATGTACAAGACCAGTGATTTCATATAAGATATCATTAAAATTCTGCTTATTAATCAAAATCAATTACACGTATTTGGCCTACAAAAAATAGTATCAAGCCTTTAGACCCTAATTATTTTTCAGTTCTTTAACCAGTCATCGAATTCTCGAATGAATAAAGTTAGAAGTTCGATTAAAATTTAACGTTGCGTAAACTTATCTACTCCTAATCAAGCCTGTTAACTACTACACCGCAGTATAAAAATTATAGAAGATAACATTATTCTGCTTTGTAAGAGTATTTTACAAAATTATATTTCACGTGAACAAAAACTCAGATCCCAAATAATTATCCCTGGGTCATATAAATTATTATCCCTTGTGGGAATCGTACCGCAGCACCGAATCCAAAACTTTGACTACTGCGCCACGGAGTCATAGATTAATTACTTGGATATTATTAATCTCCAAAGTTTTGCGAACCAACAAAAACAATGTAGCCCTTTAAAACTTTTTGATAAAAATACACTTCGCTTAATGTTTACTATTTTATTTCCCCTAATACTTAACGTATGCAAGTAAAATTCCGTAATCAAATTTAATATCAGTTATTTTCTAATTATACTATTCATTTGACTCCTACCCCAAAAGAGGTATACAAAATATTGATATTTGTCTAAAGAGAATAAATCTCCCAAAAAAGTCTATAACGAAATTTACATATTACCATTATTAATAAGCAATCAAAACCATATTATATCTAATATATCGAATAATGTATTTTTATTGGTAATTATTATTGTTCTAATTTTTTTTTAAAGAAAATTATTGAGGTTCATTAAGTTACTAAGTTAAGTAGAGTAATAATAATAAACTGACATATCTATTTTATGTTAGTTATTTTTAAAATTTAAACAAAGTTTCTTTCGTAAAATAAAAGAACGCGTTTGCCTCTTTGCTCATACTAAAATATATTTAGATTAGTTAATTCAAAAACGTCTAATAGAACGTTCTAACCGAAATTCAAACATTTACAACTGGGAATGAAAAAAAAGTCGAGAACCGCTGAATACCGCTCAAGAATGTGGCTCACGATAGCTATTACATAATTAAAATGTAAACAAACTGTTTTTATTTTCGAACGAGAGACGGCATAAAGGATTAACAGCACATTCGTTTACAAAACTTTACTAACTATTAACCCGGGCGTGTTAAACGATGTCCACGGCGAATAATGCACACTTCAAGCACGTTATTATTTAAAGATTTGCGCGAACTTCAACTGTCGGTCGCGACGAACGCGGGCGTAAGGCACTTACTGGCGGCAGCAGAGTCGTTGCCGCGGTCTCCACAGAAGAGTTACCCAACACCACCCACTACCACGGAACCTGACGGAGTATTATTCAATACGTATAACGCACACGCAGCGGTGACCTCTTTGTTGTTACGTTTGAAGTTCGAGTTGGCTCTCTGACCGTAAAT